CCCACATCCCTCCAGGTCCCTCTTCCAGTCCTCTGGCACCACACCAGAACACCACGTGTGCTTGTAAAGCCGTGCCAGGGGTCCTGCAATGACTTCTGCTAATTCCCTCAGCACTCTGGGGTGGAGATCATCAGGACCTGCTGATTTAAATACATGCAGTCCCTCCAGAAGTTCCCTGACTATTTCCTCACTGACCCTAGGCCTGGGTGTGTGTCCCCTGGGACCTATGGGGGTCCCAGTGAGGGGGGTGACCTGGTCCCTGCTCAGAAAAATGGAGGCAAAGAAATTGTTAAATTTCAGTGGCTAGGTTCTCGGGCTTCTACAGGCAAAAACTAAAAGCTCCCCTATTAGTATTGCCTGCAGTCAGCAAATGAGATTTTATTCAGTCTACACCCAGTAAAAAATGAATGCATGTTGGGGTAGGAACTGTCTCTCTAAAAGATTTCACAGTAGAAAAGATGAAGAGTAAGAATAGAAATAGTGGCACAGAGAAATGAATTATTTTCCCAGGGTCATGCAGTGCTAGAGTTTTGTGTCTTGACTTCTCATTCATTGCTCTAGACTTCACACTAACTTGCTTCCCATCTGTATTATATACCTTTATCCAGTTTTGGCTAGTGGATGGCAAAGAGGTTTGTGGGGGGGAAGATGGAAAGGAATACTACTTGCATAGGAAGGAGAATTAAGTTGTGTAAGCCATCTTTCTCTATTCTGAATGTTCATATTTTTACTTTGTAACTTATGTTTTTAGGGTTGCATGGTGGACGGCCATCAGCTGGCAGTGAAAATCTCTGAGAGGGCCATCAAGTAAGACTCTGATTATAGTCCTGCATCTCTAGGTGCCAGTGAGCCTTTGAGCAACAGTGACCACATTTCATTGCCAACTAGTTTTTTTAATGACTTCACTGTGTGAAGAATGTAGTGGCTGCTGGGAGCAGTTTTTTAATTCAGGTTGTGAAGAGTGCCAGTCTTAAATACATATTTAGGTGACACACTGGAATCATCCTAATTTCCTGAGTAAATGTTTTGGGGGGTTTTTTACACTCTTTAAAATGATTATGTGGGAGTCATCAAAATAGCAGTAGTTTTACTCAAGTACATAGCCTAATGAAAGGATTTGTCACCTAAAATTTGATTTATTCCAAGTAGAAAATAAAAAGAAGGCACTGAGTTTTAGGAGAAGATTAAGCACCACTAAGTGAATAACAGATTAACTCTGATGAAGTCATTTAATTGAGAGAAACTGGCCAAAAGGTAAACTAGATTAGAGTATTGAATATAGGGGCTCCCAAAGTATAACTAATGATCTTCGCCGTAACCTTTTAAAGACAAGGATCTCTTTCCACTGTTACACTGGTCTCCAGGCAGGTGATATCTTTCTGTGCATTGTCATTGGTGTTAAGGTGATCTTTGGGCTGTGGGACTTTGCTTCAGAGTACATTCATATCACTGCTTGCTTATGAGTTTTGTGGGGGCACTGTAGCAGTCCTCACGTCAAGGGCTGAAGGGTTACCATCTGATTCCCAGCTCTTGCTGGCTTGGCAACCATGCCTAGCAGTGGAATCAAGTGATTTCATACAGTCGCATGAAATGTTCATGCTATTTACAGCTGATCAAAGAGAACAGAAGTGAGCTTAATGTAACTGAAGCAGAGGTATCAGCTCTGCTTCAGTTACGTTAACGCAGCCGACGCTGCAGATTTGTCATGGGTCCCAGATTTGAGTGGTTCATGATGGGGAATATTCCATGAGGAGGGACCTACTTAAATCATGGGGAGACGAGGGGTTTTTGCAGCCCGCTTGTAGCATGCAGCGCTGATTTCGCGGGCACGTTACAGTGGCCCTGCCCCTCGTGCTGATTGGCAGAGAGGTCTTTGGGGGAGGGGAGGGGAGGAGGGATGAGGGGACAGCCTCCACCTTGATTCGTGGCTGCCCTTCATGCCACCCTGCCCCTTAGCTCTGATTGGCTGAGAGGCCCCAGCAGGGGGAGGAGGAATGAGGGGATGGTTGCTATCTTGTCTGCTGCCCTTTGCGCCTCCCTGCCAGGCAGCACCTTCCCCTCCCAGCAGCACGAAACTCTGGCTCTCACTGGGGAACCAGCATTTGATTCTTTATTAAACTGGGGGGAAGAGGGGGGTTGTTGATTTTGCAAATTTCACAGACAATCCAGGATTTTATGGTTTTTGTGAAATCTGCGAAGCCATGAATTAAGTAGGTCCCGACCCATAAGTTCTGAAATCTTGTAGTTCCAATTTATTGGGGAAATAAGACACTTAAAAGTAATCACTGTTGAATTATGGCAGAATCAAAACAATGTTAATGGCTTCTCCTGTGTATAAAAGCCTTTTCCTTGACTTATTTCAGTTTCAGTTTAGGTAGCAGGGTCAGATTTTTCATTAGTTCAATTAAAGTTGAAAAGTTTGGAATCAGAAAGGTAGGAGAGGATGACATCTGTTAAAGGAACTTGAAGGACCTGGGGTTAGATTTGTTGAAGGTATTTAGATGCCTATCCTGCATCGTTAGGTTCTGAATACCTGTGAAAATCTGGTCCATCATGACCAAAAATAACCTGACAATTCAATAAGTACAGCAAATATGTCTAAAAAATAAGTTTTAAATCCAGAGTATCTGTTTTCATACATTTACTTTTCCCCCCTTATATATTTGTCATGTTTACAGTATTTTTATATCACTTTTTTGGCATGAATATAACACCGCCTATGGATATTTTAATTTTATTCCAATTTCCATTCACTTTGCACTTGACATAAACCCTGATAAATAAGAAGTGTTAATCGGAGTTTTCCAATTTATTACAGAATTAAAAAGTAAGAATCTTAAATAATTGCATGTTGAGGTATGAAACTGCTTAACTAAATACGTTTGAGTTTAGTATAGGAAAAAACAGATTTACAACAGCTGCAGTTACCCCCAATATGAAAGAACTTTTTCTTTGAAAAATAGCTAAAAAGTACAAATGCTAGACAAGATTTGAATCTGTGTGTAAATAAGAGGGGGTTTTTTAAAACCTGCTGATGGAAATCATGATTAAAATCAGTGATTTAAATCAATCCACTCTGCTGTCTAATCTGAGTCTTCTGGACGTACAAATAAGCATTCATTGAACATGTCAATCAGGAAACTAGACAACAGAAAGTCTACATTCTTAACGTAGAAGGAACTGAAGAGCAAGAAGTCTATGATGTGTTGATCTGTAGAGAGTAACTTTCTCATTTCTCTTTTGATTTACTAGGTCTACTGTGACTTCATCCCGTAAAAAACAAATACTCAAGAAGCAAAGGAGCTCCAAGATCTTAGTCCGAAATATCCCATTCCAGGCTACTGTGAGGGAAATCAGAGAGCTTTTCAGGTAGGTAAACTACCTCCATCTTATCTACAGAGAGGGAAGTTATTCACTGGGTCTTGCTTTGATGGCTTTTAGCAGGTGACTTTGATATCTGAGCACTAGTGTTGTGAGATTGTTGGGTAACTGAGTCTAACCTTGCGTTTATCCTTGTCTGGAACGTGTATACGGACTCCACAAGACATGGTGTACCTAGGTGAGCAGAGGCACCAGGACAGCAAGCAGGAAAAAAATATAATTGTTTTGCATATGACTGACCAGATTCACACTCCGTCCTGTGCATATGGCAATACATGTCATACCTCAAACCCTTGATTTATTTTTAAAAAACCTTTTCTCATCATGTGTGTTGCTGAGTGTCTGAAGTACTTTTTTTGGTGTAAGGGTATTGCTCAATGATTGGTATGGATGAGAGAAATAAGAATTTAAGAAGTAGCTGTCTTCACTGACTTTCCATCCTCAGTTGTGCAGCCATTCAGGTACATTCTGGATTTTTAAGCATTGATTCACAAATGCATGTGAAACTTTGCATGATTGAAAAATGAAGCCCATTCTCCACCCCCAAGTAGTTAATATGATTTTGTTGTGGCAATGATGCTAGAGAGAGCCTGATCCAATGAACTGGGAGGCTGGAGAACTGGGTTCTGTTCCTTGTTCTGTTGCTGACCTGAGCTGTGACTTTGGACAAGTTAGAGAACCAAGATTTACAGGGTGTAACTTCATGCAGTTAATGGTTGTGAGCGGTATGGGAGTGTGGTCTCTCAGTATCCAGTGAGTTTGGTTTGAGTGTATTTAAGCTGAACAATGAGGGAAAACTATGTAAATCTACCAATTGGATCATAGATAGACACAGGAGGGACACCTGCCCACTAACTGGTAGTGCAGACTTAGAGAAGAGGCACTTGGAGGGGCTGGATGTGTTCAAATCAGTGGGCCCAGATGAATTTCATTAAAGGGTGCTGGAGAAATTGGCCAGTGTCATAGCACAGCCGCTGGCACAGCTGTTCGAGCACTCACGGTGCTCCGGTCAGGTCTCAGAGGACTGGAAAAGTGTCAGTGTGGTCCCTGTTTTCAAGAAAGGGAGGAGGGAGGGACTGGAAAACTATAAAACAGTTGGTCTCACCTCTATCCTTGGGAAAACTGTGGAAAAAATCATTAAGGATCACATTTGTTGGAGCCCAGCAGGGGAAATAATGCTAAAAGGAAATCGGCATGGATTCATTGCTGGTACATCCTGCCTTGACTAACCTTGTTTCTTTTTATGACGAGATTACAAAATGCCTAGGATGCAGAAGTAAAGGTAGATGTCATCTTCCTAGACTTTAAGAAGGCCTTCGATACAGTATCTCATTCTGTTCTCATAAATAAACTGGCAGGCTGTGACAGATGATTACACTGTCAGGTGGTTGGCAAATTGGCTTAGGGGTCACACCCAGAGAGTGGTGGTGGGTGGGTTGATATCAGCCTGGAAAGATGTGGGCAGTGGAGTCCTGCAAGGCTTGGTCCTTGGACCAGTACTATTCAATGTCTTCATCAGTGACTTGGATGAGGGCATAGAAAGCAGGTTGGCAAGTTACCAAATTATGGGGCAAAGTTAACACAGCAGAGGATAGGGAACAGATGCAGGTGGATCTGGACAGGTTGGAAAAATGGGCAAAACACAATAGGATGTAGTTCAACAAAGTGTTGCACCTGGGTAAAAAGAACTGCCAACACACTTACAGGCTGGGGGGTGACCTTCTTAGCAGCACAGCAGCGGAAAGGGATCTTGAAGTTATAGTTGACTCCAAGATGAGCATGAGTCATTAGCGTGACAAAGTGATCAACAAAGCTAACCACGCTTTATCGTGCATTAGCAGATGCATGATGAACGGGTCCAGGGAGGTGATGCTTCCCCACTTTGCGGCACTGGTCAGGCCACAGTTGGAGTACTGCATCCAGTTTTGGGCACCGCACTTCAAGAGGGATGTGGAGAATCTTGAGAGGGTTCAGGGGAGGGCCACTTGTATGGTCAGAGGCCTGCAGGCAAGGCCCTACGAGGAGAGACTGAGGGACCTAGATCTCTTGAGCTTTTGCAAGAGAAGGCTGAGAGGTGATCTTGTGACTGCCTATAAATTCATCAGGGGAGGGAAGCAGGGAATAGGAGATGCTTTATTTACTAGGGCACCCCTTGGAGTAACTAGGAACAATGGCCACAATTTGAGGGAGAGCAGATTTAGGTTGGACATTAGAAAGAACTTCACAATAAGGCTTGCCAGAATCTGGAATGGGCTTCCAAGGGAAATGGTGCTTTCCCCTACTCTGGGTGTCTTCCAGAGGAGACTGGACAAACACCTAGCTGGGGTCATCTGACCCCAGTGCTCTTTCCTGCCCAGGGCAGGGGGTTGGACTCTGACCTATCAAGGTCCCTTCCGACCATAACATATATGAATCTATGTAATAGTAAGCTCTAAGAACCAGCTCCCACGAGGTGGAAGCCTATTTGCTTAAACTAGTCAAAACCATGTACTGAAAAATGCAGAGGGCAACCCCACAGTGACACCCCCCAGCCCATCTCCTTTGGCATGGAGAAAATGGCCCTAGATATCTCTCTTTCTGAATTCTCTTGAGTATTTTAATAGCATGAAATGTTATACAAGGGTCAATCAGAGATAAGTACAATTTGAAGTCCCCACTGCTTGTTAGGCTTTTATCCTGCAAGTTATCTGGTTTAGCTGAACATTGTGATGCTGTTTGGAAATTGGTTTCTTGTGCTTAATTGGAACCAGGATGCAGTAGCTCTGTGTCAGAGGTATGTTTATGACCGTTAGTTGCATTGTCTGCACCACTACAAGACACTGCTACTATAGCAATGAGCTTCTATGCACTGGAATAGAGAGGGAACGTCTAGCAAGAGAACTTGTTTATTCAAGGGAACTTCTATCTTGGAGGCTTGTACTTTGACAGTACAGTGATAGGTCTCCTCGAAATAGACTGGACTCTACATTTGGACTTCAGAACTATTAGGATCTTGGAATGAGGAAGTTTAAGATGTGGCATCATTTCTACCCAAAACTTAACTCTTCCTGCCAAGTATGGGGGCAGGAAACTTGACGAGCTGAATTGCCAGCACTCTGCTGATATCCTCAATAATACCAGCCAACAAACCAAATAATTAACAGAGCCAGGTTGGCTTTCCGTTCTGTAATAAATTCAGGGACAGGAGAAATCTGTACTTGTCCAAAAGATAAAAGATCAGTACAGAGAGATGTTATTGTTTTATGTTACTAAAAGGGCGTTGAAAAACAATGCATGGTTGAGAAGGTGGGGATGCGGAGGCGGTTTGATAATGCCTTAAGAAACACAGGGCTTCTAGACCCATATTACCAAAAGCATTTTACCAACAATGCATAGTAATCAGGAAGCAATGTTGCATCGGAATGTCAGTTTCACTTAGTTACACCATACGTTTATCCTCAAAGCAGAAACCACCAGTGTAAAAACAAAACCAAGCAATATAAAATGGAGCTGTCTTAATAGCATCCCTCTGTGTTTTCAGAAGGGCTAAACATTTGCATGCATCAAACATTACTAAATGCCACACACATGCTGATATTTGTTTAAAATTTCAAGCCTTTGCTCTGATGCTGTAGATTTAGATCCTTCTGTGACTAAGAATCTTCTTAGTTTAAAACCATTCTTTGGAACTGGAGGTAGCTCACTTGTCAGGACTGCAGGGGGCACTCTTGTCCTTTATTTCCTTAGGAGGCAAAGCAGAAAACTAACTGATGCTCCCAAACAATGCCACTGCAGGGCAATGGTAGTTCTGCCTGTGGAGGTTAAAGGCTTTGTGGGACAAGTCTCTTCTCTATTGTTTCACATGTTCAAAAACCACTTTCAAGCCACCCAGTGGATGCTGTCTCTTAACCTGCTTCCTTTATGCCACATTTGAATTGTCTGGGCAGGCTATGAAATGTAGAAGATTAAAAATCCTTTTTACCCTATACAAATGTTTCCACTTTTCAAGCTTTGTCAAGGGAACTCCTCTCCCTTTTAAATCTACCTAAGAATAAGTGTTAGCAACGCTAGCACTTACCTGTTTGAAATGGAGCCAATAGTGCTTAACTTTTCTACATTAAAAAAAAATGGAAGTTTCTAAACGAGACAGTTGAGGGCTGTAGCTTTAGAAACTCTTACCCTATTCACCTTTCCTCTTTAATATTACTGTTTATCTGGGGATCAGTCATCAGAATTCTTAGTCTGAGGAAAGACTAAAGATTCTTGTTTAGGAAGCTATGCCAGTAGTCTAAGATGGGTACCAAAGGGCTACCCTTGTGCCTGTGCTTGTTCCCCTGGTCTAGCTGATTCAAACTAACATTGCAGGCCAAGGGTTATGCACCAAGCGTTAGCAGGGGTGGATTTTAGAATACTTTGAAATGGACAGATGATGAGAAACATATTTGGAAAAGCCATGGTAAGAATTTAAATTAGCATGGCTTTTCTCAGACCTGTAGTTTGCATAAGATTTAGGGTATGTGCTTGTTTCTTTTGATTTCAAATTTTTGGGTGCAGGGCTTTAATATATGGGGCAGTTTGGAAGGGAATAGTCTTTATGTGCATTTGACCTACCACAGTTCAACACCTCTAAAGCCCTTGGCCCACAGAGTCTGTCAAGAGTGTCACAGTAAGAAATTTACTCCACTTCCTGACCTCCACCACACTTGAGCTGGAGGAACCATCCCTAACGATGAAGAGTTTTTAGCTTCTGTGCTCTTTTTGCTGAGACTACCGGTTAATCAACTAAACAGTTCAGAACTTTGCTTCCAGTATCTGAGTGGCTAACACTTAAGAATTTCAACCTCACATATAAAGCAGATCTATTTTAAAATGAAGCCTTGAGCATGCACTGCCCCAGAATATTGTACTGCTAATGGGGATGGCTTTTGTGACGTGGGCATCTGGGGATTTTGATGGAGATCAGTCAATCTCATTTTGCTTATTTGCCATAAATACAAGCACTATCTGAT